TTTTATTTGCCCAGAAGGAAAATGGATTATTTTCCTTTCCTCCCACTCTTCAGATGTCTCACCAAAAACGTAATCTTTAAATTTAGTTTGCCTTCCTTTCAGATGAACAAATAAAAGTGCTAGGGTTTGCTATATTCAAGTGAGACACAGCTAGATTCATCCAGCCACACCTATCTTGCTGTAACAGTTTGCATGTTTAAAATAGTTCTTCGAAACAAGAGATTATAGCACCAATTTTAAAGATATTATAAACTTTACCCTGTTATTATATATATTCTTCATTTTAGATCAATGCACTGAGAATAGCTCCCTATCAAAAGCTGCATTTGTTTTCTTATATTGAACCATATGGTCATTAAAAATGTCCTCCTAAATGCCAGAAAGCAAAAGTTACCCCTAAAAGTGCTCATATCTTTATACTGAAGGGAAAGAATTTAAGCAGCAAATAATTTCAGGTCATTTTCATTTGGTGTCCTTAGTGTCACCAACTGCAGTATAGCCAGTCAGGAACTCTAAATGCCTCATTTTCTTCTGAAGTTAATTTTGAAGTGACACAATCAGCTTTAAGGACATTCATACTTAATTACTCCTCCTGGTATTTGTAATGTTACATAATCCAAAAGCCAAAATGAATCAAGTATTTAAATCTGAGTGGATACTCAAGTCCTTTTGCATCAGTAAGATGAGGGTTCAAAAGCAATTTTTGTATTGGTACAGTGAGAGAGTATGGCTGAAATCCCACAGACTTCCCTCCTCTACTAACAGTAATGTTTTTCTCCTCCAGATCTTTTATTTTATTGGCTGGACATACTTGTCATGCCTACCCACCCCCAAAAATTATCACTGCATTGAACTAGCATTAGTTTTATCCTAAGATAATTATATATTAGAAGCCACCTCTCTCTCATTGGCAAGAACAGGTACTGCCTGCCTAGTTTAATAAAGAGTATTCAGAACACTGGAATTACACCCAACTACTCCATCTGGTAACAGGTGATGCTTTTTAACACTGACCAGTTCTGAGGCAGAACCTGACTAACAGTGAAGTTTTCCATATTTTCTTAGATATTAGTGCTGAAGATTTCTATACCTACTGCTCCTATCAAGTGCAAAGCAAGCTTTTCAGAGTGAGATGCTTATGTCAAGCTATGGCAAAAAAGTTACCAGGTACAGAGATTTATAGTCTAAATATTAGGGACTTTCAAAGTTGTGCAAAGTTGTGCTTTGGAAGAATGACCATACCTCTCTCTTAACCAGCTCAACAGCTGCATCCATGTCTTTCTGGCTATACTTCAGCACATCTATAATAGCATCCACTGCAGTGTTTGCAGAAACAGCACAAGGGACTGGAGGAACCTCACTATTCAGGGAGCCTGGAACTGGAAGATCTGTGTCCTATGAGAAAAAAAAATAATCAGTTTCAACAGACTCATTTTCATGCCATTGATTAGCTGTACAGCTTATTCAATGGTGAATCAACATATTTTACTTAAACACCTGAAATATCTCCATAATATTCTTACTGTAATCTTCCTTCTTTGTATATACCTTTTAGAACTATATACTTATCTTTAAGGTATAACAGAAATTGCTATCCAGATAGCACATGACACCACTCTGTTCCCCAACAGTAAAAAAGGTCACTTTTTTAAAAAGGTCACATTTCAAGATGAGCTGCTGTATAGAGATCACTTCATAAAAGGCTGTTGATATCACAAACCTTACACTGTAGAGCATCAAGTTTAACCAAAGTACTTTTCACCACAGCAGTGCCATTAAAATTGTGCCTTCAGCTGCATGCAAGACTGCTTGATTAAAGCAGTCTTAAAACCAGCTCAAATTCTCCTATATGATGTGCAATGCTACCAGTTTCCACAAAAGATATCATTAATTAAGTGAAGTTCACCAAAAAGTTCAACTTTGCTATAAGTATCCAACCTGTTTAAGCTAACAGCTTAGATAAGCTGTTAATAAGTATTCTGCAATCTTCAGAATATCTGCACAAGTCTTAAGTCCAGAACCGAGCCCATCCCTTTCCTAAATATCAACAGGAAACCTGATAACATTCCAGACACCCTTACAGAAGTTGTAAATGTTCCCAGAAGATCCAGTCCTTTTGGTTTTTCTTCATTTTGAAGACTCACTGCAGGTTTTTCAGCCTCCTTGAACAGTTTACTTAGATCAGCCACAGGCCTAAAAATGAACAAACATACACCATTACATTCAAGTGCTGCCTTTCTTTGTAGGGCCACAGGCTCCAGCCCAGACGGAGTGGACACCTACCCAGGTGGCAGTGCAGCCATCATGATGTCCATGTTTGTCTCAGTAGTACCAGAAATTGGTTTTCTTGGACTGTCTCTTAACAGAGGGTCAAACTTCAGATACAGTGACTGCTTCCTCAAGACAGATTCTTTGAACTGAGGGGGAAAGAGGAATAAACTGGCAGATACACTGCTTCATGGCATGACACATCCCCCCCCACACACAAATAATCCTCTGGAGAGAGGGTGAGCCTATTCTTCAGTGGCCAGAGCATTGTTCTCCAGAGAAAAATTACGTAAGAACTCGGTGCCCACACGCCCAAGTCCTTATGTAACACCAAGTGAACTCAATCTGCTCACAAGCAGAACCCAAAGGGCAAATGAACTATCCAAACCAGCAGAAGACACTGAAAGGGAAAGATAGTGTTGTAAGCTGAAGGAGCAGCCTACCTCATCCACTGTCTTTGCTCATGACAAACACAGCCTGATCAAAAAAAGAACTAAGCTGAACTGATTACAACACAACAGGCCCAGTTTAGAGACAGATTTCCTGAAACTGCCCATAAAACAAAAGAACTTAGAAAAATGTTTTCACAACGATCCTGCACTTTCAAAGCATTAGGTTACATTTTCTTCCACCACCTTTTTAACCCATTCCTTTGGAACAGGACCTGTATTTCTGTGAACAAGTTCAAAGTGAAGTTATTTCATGAAAACATTTATGGTTTGGCAGTTCCATTTTCCTTTCCTCTACCCTCTGCCAAGGAGGCAAACAAAACATTTCAGTGTCATACTCACTGAAGAAGACCCAAACTGTTCCAGATAGTCTATTTCTGTGCCCATTCCTAGAACTGAAAAAGAAGGAAATGATATAATAAAGATGCAACATTGTCACACTGTCTTACAGCAAAGCACCTACAGACAGAAATTAGGTATGTATATAAAGCAAGTAAACCCCCTCTAGTTATTTACTTGCTAAAAATACATTGCTATCTGGACCTGAAAAAATAAAATTGAAATAAAATCAGGCAAAGATTTCTAAGCTAAGCAAACTTAGAGTTTCCACTTGTCCCCAAACACCTGTAAGAATATGCAGAATTTAACACGTAGTTGAAAAACTTCAGTTGTTCTATGGTTGAAGTGACAATCACACTCAGCTATTCTACTCTTTCATACAATGCTCCATAAAAGGGCAAAACTGGCAATCTCACTGTCAAAACCAGCACACAGCTCAGATGTGGGCAATGAAGTTATAGCCACACCTCACTATACTGATCCCACTCAGGTACTAAGGTAAGTGGCAGACTGTGCTGCAGTCAAATCATCTGTTCACCATTCCACACAATGTTCCTACAAGGAGCAACCTTCCCAGGTGGTTAAGTCACAGCCATGTGGTAGCTTTCCAGACAGGCACACACGTGCAGAAAGACCACCCACACTACCATAGGACATCAGCATTGAAGTGCTACAGCCTCTGGTAATCTACAGGACTCTGAGGCAGTGGCACAGCTCTAGTGCTCAATTTAGGAAGTTCTTTAATACCAGAAGTGACTTTAAGGGAGCATTTTTTCAGTACAGAAAGCTGCCACTGAAACTCTAAAAAGGTTGTTTCTGTACGAGCCTGTATTTTACCCTTCCAGGTAGTTCAGTGCCAATAGGCAGCTTTTTGAATTTAGTTTAAACCAGAGAATGTTAGAGAGATGCTTATAAGCACATTTCCCACCCCTGCTAGTCACTGCAGGTTTTACAGTCCTCTCAGGAGAGCAAAGTGAGACACAAACTACAATCAATGCCGAAACTGAAGGAGATAAATACACATGCAGAGGTTATAGCACCAGTGTCTTCTCAGTCTGTTCTGAAGAAGTGCCCTTACCTTCTGACAACGGCCTGAACTGCTCCTCAGGTTCACTGCTAGCTGCCTGCTCAACTGCTGCTATTTCAGTTCTGTGGGAACTAGGTTCAACTTCTTCTGCAGGCACTGACTTTTCTCCACTGTCAGTGGAAACCAAATTATCTTGAGAGGGGACATTAGCTGGAGACATTTCAGATGGGCTCATTTTCTTCTCCTGATGAGAAATGCACAATCCTTTTTATTGTCACAATAATTAAATGCAATGGAAAGCACAATAATGATCAAATTGGTCTGTCATAAACTTGCTGGGCAGCCAGCATAATAAAACAAGAGTTCACAGGCATAGACACCAAGCTAGCCACATAGAGTACAGCTCCCATTATACAGGAGTCCCTTTTTTACAGTCCACACCCTGATGTTTGTCCTTATATGTGACTGTTGATCAAAAAAGATACTAAATACCCAAATTGGCTGTCTCTGACGCTACCTTCCCAAGACAGTCTGCACAGTTAATACTCACTCTAGAGTTGAAGATGCTTTAAAAATTACTGCTTAAATATAAATACCAGACATTGGTTTGACAAGGTTAAGTCACAGAACTGTTCCATGAAACAGCTTGGTGAGAATGAGCTCTCTTTGCTATACATTACCTTGGTTATCTCTCCTGGAAGCCCAGCTGCTGCTTGAACTGCTGGCTTGTCCTCTCGAGTTCCTGGCTTGTCTTCTACCACTGTCTGTTTGCTGATATCCCTAAAAAAAAAAAATAATTTAAAAACTGAAGTCACACAGACAGTTCTGAATTCTATATTATGGATATAGCGAAGCACTGAACAAGACAAGCTTTTTAAGAGCTTCTACTGCCACACTACAGAAAGCTTTAGAGGGTGGAGATGTAAATTCACTGTCTTGTCTGGCTACAAACTTAAATAACAGAAAGTTCTCCCTCTGTCAGATGCAGTTCTGCCTGGGAAGTAAAGTCACAGCTGTATCACTTCTTTCTATTCACTTCATACTATTATTTCCATTTGTTAAGCCTTTTTTTTAAGATAGGCTTTTTGTTTAATTAAGCACAGAATTACAAGCAGCCTACTCTTTCCAAAGTAACACAGTGATTATTGGTGCAAAGCACACAACTGCTGACAGCACCCATGTGACTCTTCACCTTGGTGAGCTGTAGCTAATCATGTTACACCAGGAGCAAGAGAACAAACATTTCTGTCAGCAGAACACCTTGTGCCAGCCCATGCCTGGTAAGCACCTGGCTGCCTACAGTAATGCTGACATTTTAATAGCTAGACTTTTGAGGAAAGGCAACATAATGTCTCCCATTCTCAAAAAGCTTTACGTGGTGCCAAAAAAACCCAAACCAACTTCAGTGACAGGCCTTTTTACTGGGGACACCATTCAGATACCAAGAAAGAACAGAACCTCAGAGTTCAGCCAGGACACTAAGCAGAGAACAGAACTGCCTTAGACCCTTCACATGCTGGATGATGTGCAACACCACTGCCTGGTTTTTTGAAGGCCAGCAGCAGTCACCTGATTCTCCACATCTGGGAGCAGGAGTGGGGAAAGAGCCACTTGACCAGGATACTAATGCTTTTCCCATATAAGCCTGTTCCCCCCCATCCCTCCAGATTTAAGAACATCTTTCACACAGAGCTAGCCACGTCAGGATGGCTAGCTCTCAAAATCCTCCAGATTTTGCTGTTGCAACACACCATGTGTTAAAGGCTACAACGTGCCACACTCAGCCAGCCCCAGAGGGAGGGCTCAACTCGTTAGAGACACCATTAACTACCTTTCTCTCACAAAGTTCAAGGTGCTTCTACATTCAGCTGCCAGATGTACTTACAGATTTTTGGGTTCTCTTCTCTCAACGTTTTCACAGGTACTTGGTGTGTTACCCTGGTCCCCTGGAAGAGGTTCCTTTCTTGATGGGCTACTGTCCTGCTGCTCTTGTTGGTGAACTTTCTCAGGGCTAGGTTTAGAACACTTGGGTGAGCTGGAAATTTTAGAGCCTCCTCCAAATGGATTAAAGTTTGGATCATCAAGTTTGTCCCAGTCGAATTTATAAGATGCTTTGGGAACAGGGATTTCATCTTCCACATTACTTTTATCCTGCACTTCAGTATTTTCTGGTTTTGTTTTGGTAATAGGCATTTTTTTGGAAGGTGGCTTAATTCCAGGTCTTTTACCTAGTTTCTTAGGAGGTGGCTTTCTAGCAGTGGTACTATCAAAGTCAAATTCCAGTTTTACTGATCCAGCCTTGGTGACATCAGGCTTTTCTGCAGGTGCCCCTTTGGGGACAGCCAACTCTTCTGCAGGCTTTGACTCTTCTACAGAGGCTTTTTCTGCTGCTAAAACATTCTGAAGCTTCAACTCCCCTGTTTTAGAAGGCTTAGTTACATCAGAACTACTGGGTCCCAAGCTGCCAGACAACTGTCCAGGAGGCGTAGGTGCTTCTGCTATTCCCACTGAACGATCCATTTGTCTCACATCTGTGGAAGCAGACTTCACATCCTGTACAGAGTCACTGACTGCTTGCTGAGGAGACAGCTTGGATTTGTTGGACTCCAGCTCTCCCACTACAGGTTCCTTCCCAAAAGAAAGAGTCTTCTCATCTTCACTCAAGCACTCTGTGCTTGCTGTGGTTGAAGCAAAAGGAGGTGTATCATCCAGCAAAAGAGTATCATTATTTTTTTCAGTCTTCTCAGGGCTGCTAGATACCCTGACAAGAGATTTCTGCAGATTTCCAGGAGAATGCTGCAACTGCACTGAACTTTGAAAAGGATTGATGTCATTTAAGTTATCAAAATCAAGATTGTAGGAACCTCGACTCTTCACTGGCATCTCATCATCCGGGTAGGGAGCTGCACTGACCTTCTCTGGCATTTGTGTGTTTAGCACTGTGTTGCTCACGTCAGCTTCAGTCTTCTGTTGACATGTGCTGCATTTAAAAGAAAAGATCATGCATGCTATGACTATTTTTTAGACATAATTTGAAATCAGCTTTAGAAATATATTTGCAATATTTTAGAAATATATTAGCCTTGCATGCTCAGAGTTACCCAATTTTCTTGGCATAAGGCAGCTGATAGCAAAAGCATACAACATACACATGAACTATATAGACATCAGCCCTAAAAGCTAGTCAGTATTCTTAAGCTGTGTGTTCTACACAGCTACTCACCTTGTGCCAGTCACCCCTGGAGACTGCTCTGCTCTCTACAGCATGTGGACATTCCCAACACTAGACAGTGAAATATACATTGCTTAGCAGGAGACACTAACAGTGAGCAGCTCAAGCACAAGCACAACTAGTACATCTTCATGTAGATTAATCTGTGAGTCATAAGAGACTCAAATCTTGGGCCAAACTGAGTTATGATTCAGGTTCTCCTATTCTAGTCATTACTTTGGCCATTCTGGCATATATTTTCCCCCTAAAAGCATATACCAGTATTTAATCTGAGGGCTTACATACAAAAAAAAACCAGACCCCAAACTTCAGGCACTCTAAACTGCACAACAGATCTGAAGAGTAAAGTGGTATACAAGAAAATACTTCTCCAATAAGAGATTCTCTAGCAGAAGAAAGATTAAAGATATTGAGTTTATGTACTTACTGCTGCTGAGTTACTGTTAAAAGTTACTGCTTTTAACTTTATTTCCCTAAACTCCACTGAACTTTTGAGCCTTAGCCTCAGACCACAGAGAGTTAAGCCATTACTTCCTGAAACAGGATTTCCTCCCATTGTTTTGTCTCTTTGTAAAGTTATTTCTATGTACCACCGGTATCTGCTGTAGAACAGAACACGATGAGAAGCAGCTCACTAAAAATACCACTTTGATAAACGAGAAAGCAAAGGCAGGAGATAAGAGCTCAGGAAGTCCTTCTCACCCGGCTGGAGTGCCTCTTCCCCCGCAACAGCTCAGCCCCAGGCTGGTCCAACTACTCAGGCCCCTCCCATTCTCCCTCAGCGTTTAACCTGATAAATGCCAGTCAAGAGCGAGACACCTGCTGGAAACTTCAATTTCTTGCGACTAGTGGAGAGACTTCAGCAACACCCAACCCTTCGAGTGTTCCCTACAAACAGATCCTGACACTTCAGAAGCAGACAGGACACGTAGAATAAAAGCAACAACTCAGGGCCCTAACCAAAATCAATTCAGTGCTAGCCCTTTTAATTCACCTGAGCCTTGTACATACCAAATCTTCATTTATTCCTGTAAGCAACAGGTTTGGGGCATAAATGCAACTAAATAATGTAACTGTGGTGCCTAGCTCAGAAGTATTTTTCCAAAGCAGAGTATACACAAAGTTAAATGTGCTTTAAACGTATAGATTTGCGTCAACTATTAAGTGTTCCCTGCTTTCTCCCTTCTCCCCTTCCTAAAAACAAGGATATGGGTCAAAAAAAACTTTTGAGTAGTTGCAATAGATGTAATTTCTCACAAGGGACAAGGCCAAGATCTGAGATGCCTTGCCACCAGGAATTACAGATGTCAGATGTTTACTTAAGTTTAAAGAGGGGCTAAAAATGTCAGTAATGAAAATATGCACTGAGGCCCATTACATAACATTATCATATAATGGTATAATAATACAATGTTAACAATATTTCTATTAAAGGAGAAGGGCAAAACCCCAGGTTGGAACACTGCAGACTTTACACTCTTCTCTGAGCAGTTACCATAAGCCTGTGTTGAGACACAGACTGCTAGACAATAAAAGTGCACAGACCTGAATATATAACATCAATTTCAAGTACAAACACTGTGTTGCTAGGTTTTTCTTTAGTCTTAATACTCATTGCCTCAAGGTACCAATTCAAGCTAACCCTTCAGAAGGTGTGTCAATATATTAAGAGATAGAACCAAACTTCACATGCAAGAGAAGAAATTTTAAGTCTTGGCTTTAAGGATTAGCTTCAGAATAGTTGTAGTCCCACATGAAAATCTTATTGTAGGAAACAGTTTTGCATTCTCTGTCCCGTGTTTCTTCTCTTATTTATCTATATTCTAAGTCATCTCTATGAAATCAATTACTGAGTTAGAAATAGAGCCCAGTATTCAATACAACCAAGATAATGTTTTCTTAAGTAATTACTATTATCTTTGAAAAAGTTTGTGCAAAGTCAGCATTAATTTTGGTCCTTCTGTGCAGTTTACATCTTGTTATAAGATACCAAATTACATTTGAACTATACAGGCTTGTAATGGGGAAGCTAACTTGAGTATGCCCCACAGTGCTAATGCTACTGGCAGTGAACACGTTACTTACTCAGAACTGATGGGTGAAGATAAAAAATCATCCATTAAGGCTTCACTGCAATCCTCAAGCGTGATAGTAGCATCAAGTTTGTCTGTTACAGCAGGGCTTAGGATTTTTCGGGTATGAGGATCTCTTAGAGGAGTCTGAAAGGTAACCTTTAAGGAAGTGGCAGGCATGGGGAGGAAAAAGGAAGAACATGAACACCACAATATTTTCAAACTCCAAATAGCATATGCATTCAGTAGCAGAGATTGTAAAGTGAGAACAAAATAGAATCAATACAAAAGCACAAGTTTACCTTCATAGCTTTTCCCACACTCTTTGGTGGCAAGTTCTCTTTCTGGGACATGCGCAGAATGGACGGCCTCCCTGTAGGTTCTGGTGGTGCAAAGAAAAAGCCACAGTCTTCTGCTGTCAGGTCATCGCTGACGCCTCCTCCGTTTTCCCCGTTTTCCACGTCTAAAATCTGCAGACTCATTCTAGAACATCAACACATACAACATCACAGCATGAATGGGAGGGCGTGGTCAGCCAGATGCACTTTTAGATAACCCAAGAAGCTGGAAGCCTGCCACTGGCCAGCAATGATGAACAGCTTCAAAAGAAGTTTTAAAAGTAATGAAAAGTCCTCATCTGAAAAGGTGTCTCTTGGAAGACTCTGAAAGCATTTAAGTGCAGCACTGCACAGCCCCTCTGCTTTGGGATGGGTCTGAGAAGCTAATTGCTGACATTATGCTTTCCAGATAGCTTTATATCCTTACTAATTAAGCTGCCCAACATTGAAAGGGAGCTCTGTTATTTGCAAGTTTCTTAATTCCCAGCCCCTTAAAGCCTGTAGTGACAGACAGTCTCTCCTAACAGGGCACCTAGCTAAGGAAAATTACAGCTTTTGCAAGGGGCAGATGACAATCATTTCTGTATTTTTAGTTATGTGGTCTCATTACTACATTTACACCAGCAAACAGCAAAACCAGATTTGGTTTGTGTGTTTAGCATCAGAGTCCTTAAAATCATTTAGATTCTTCCTGCACAGTCTGAGCATGTGCTGCTTTTCTAAGACAGGTGGTATTTAAGTACCCTTTGCAGAACAGACATTAATGGTGTGCAAATCTGAAAAAAATTGTAATTAAAAAGGTATTTCTTAACTATTGTTCTAACATTGGACTTGCACAAGCTTTAGCAGACCATATAGGCCTAAGTAACTTTTCAAGTTCTTCACACCTGAAATACTAGTAACTAAAATCTGCATCACAACTAAGATTAAGGATAAAAATAAGTTTGAAATAAAGAAATTTCAATTATGGCAGGCAAGCCAGCACTCTTGTCTACCTTTTATTTCCATGGGAGCCCCCACTGTTCTTAAGGGTTTAACACTAATAGTCAGTGATGCTACTGCTGTTTCTTTAAAACAGACAAAACCCAAAATAAGTACCAGAGCACAGAATGCAGCCAAGCAAGGCCTAGGCACAATCAGTGGCCCTGAAGGACAAACCCTGAGAAGCGCAGTTAGTTATCTGTCAATTAACTACCAAAGCCATTTCTTTCATGGGAACTGCATTATCTTGTACCACCTATGCGAGGTAATCAGTACCAGCAAGTGGAGGAGTTGCTGGTTTCTGCAGTGGATAACCATCCCAAGTGATCTCAGATGCTTGTTTTAACCAAACTGCTAACCCTTAGCTTGTTTTTCCATCCCCCATCATACAGTCAAGATTAATTCAGAAAATCAGCTGAGGAAGATTCTAAATTGTCTTCAATGTCATAGAGGTAACAAGAACACTCCCAATAAAGTTTTTAAGTCATGTTTTCAATCTCTTTGCCCTTATGTATTCAGACTTGTATATTTAAGCCTCCTCAGACACTTCCCCACTCTTGACATTAATCCTTATGGGAAAATTTGCTTCATACTCTCCACTGAACTCAACTGCTTTGCCTGTAAGCCCAACAGCACTTTTAATCGCAGTGGAATGCAAACAATTGCTACAGAAGCCAAGGCAAACAAAGCATGTCTTTATTAGCTATTTCTTTACTCCTTTATTCTTCATCACATTCATACTTTAGCCCAAGTTATTTATACATAAAAGTATTTTTACGTTAACAAGTTGTAGAACTTGAAGCGAACTTCATTGCTTTCCTTCATTCCAAGCTAAAACTGAGGCAACAGATCTTTACAAACTGTAGTTGTGCACAGCAATTACTCCAGAAATTGAGCCTAGGACATGAAAAAGTTGCCAACACTTCCTAAAACAAGCTCCACAAGCAGGCGAGGCTCATTTGGACTTTTTCAGATTTGTCACTGAGCTACTTGTGCATCACTGCTAAACCAGATTCAGAACATTAAAATACCAAACTGACACCACTCACATATGCCAATTTGCCCAGCATTTTAGATAATAAGTCTAAAAATATTAAACTCTGAAGTTAAATCATTAGAAGTAATCTGTTTAAAATACTTTAAGATTTAAATTGTATTTCACAAGCTTATTATCTAGTAGCTGTGATACATACAGTAAAAGTGGAAAGGAGCCTTTATTAAGGACATCCTTTTGTTTAAAGTGGTCAGTGTCCAAGGTATGTAAGTATGGTGAAAGGCAGCAAGTTCTCCCACTGTGACAAGTTCACAGAAATGAAACCGCTCTGGATTCAGAATATTTATCCAGGCGTAAGCAGCAGTCTGTCATTCAGCATTTCAGAATGAACATAAATTCAATGACATCAGGTAAGTAAACCTCAGATACTTACAATTTGTAAATTGAGAGCTTCATTGCAACTACCTGTTGTTTAAGAATCACTGGGGCACAACATCCAAACCCTATGTGATCTCAAATACCTAAAAAGCCACTAAGCCTATAGTCAAAGATGGAATTTTTCTACTTCATGAGTTCACAAGGATACAACGCAGAGCACTTGCTCACAGCCACAATAACTTAGCAATAACAATGTCATGGAAATATTGTACAGAAACTGACACAAGAGCCGACTGTCCTATCTCTGTCCAGTGTCAACATCCCGATTCAGAACAAATAAACACCCTCCTGGGTAACGGAGTCCTTCATGATCACGACCTGCCCCCGACTACAGAAGTCACTCGACTCTCAAGAGACCATCTCAGGAGGGGGAACTGGCGGCAATTTTAGCCAAAAAAGCCCAGGCTGGGAGGCAGGCGATGCGGAGCCCCGGCCCGGCAGATCGTAGACGGAGGGAACAGAAGATGGCCCCGGCCTGGCTCGGGGCGGGTGCGGCCGGGGTGGGCTCCTCCGGGCCGCGCGGGGAGAGGAGGAGCAGCCAGGCCGGCAGAGGCTTGCTTTAGGTTCAAAAAGAAACCCAAACAACAAACAAAAAAACCAACCAACCCTCCCCTCCCTCAGCCCCAAAATTCACCGTAGTGCCCGCGACCCTCCCAAGGCACCCCAGGCCACAAGGCCCCCACAGCACCCACCTGGAAAGTCACCGGGGGCCC